TGCTGTGGCGCGCAGCCCGTTCCTATAATATCCTCACAACACATGCCCTCGGCCTCACTTAGTCGGAAACCTCTCAAGCCACTCGGGCAACAGTAAATCATGATGCTCAGCCCAAAATATCATTTAAAATATCAAATGGAGTAAATACGGCTGAGTTATGAAAATAGTAGAATACAGCATGACTGAGTACAAATATTAAGTCAAAATAGTAAGGAATAGTAGTAAAAAGTCCCTAAGGGTCCAAAATAGTTGGCACGAGGCCTAAATATGGCATTCAGCCCAAAACATGGTAATACTTTCCAAAATACAATGATATCAAATAGTTTTCAATCAAATACGCGACTTAACAGTCGTACGGGACGGACCAAGTCACAATCCCCAGCGATGCATGACCCCACGCTCGTTATCTAGCGTGTGTGTTACCTCAAAGTAGCATAACGATGTGAAATCCGGGGTTTTATACCTCCCAGGACAACGCTTACAATCATTACTTACCTCAATCTGGTTCAAACTCTAGTCCGCGATGCCTTTGCTCCTCGACTCGGCCTCAACTCGCATTGAATCTATCCAAAATCAGAATCATAACATCAATATATGCTAAGGGAACAAAGCCTATGCGAAAATAATCAAATTACATCAAAAATCCCGAAATTGGTCAAACCCGACCCCCGGGCCCACGTCTCGAATTTCCATAAAAATCACATCACTAGAATCCTTATCCTCCCACGAGTCTGTACATACCAAGAACATCGAAATCGGACCTCAAATGGTCCCTCAAATCCCCAATTTACACTCCAATTTCAAGCCCTAATTCCCTAATTTTAGGCTTTAAATCCAACTAATTTCATATCTAAATAGTTAGAAATCAAGATAGAATTGAGTTTTGAGTTCAAAAATCTTACCTCCAAGTGTTTCCCTTCGATTCCCTCTTCAATCCCTCTCAAAAAACTTCAAAACCGCTCAACAATGGTAGAAAATAGCCTAAATATTGTGAAGACAACTATTTAAACATTCTGCCCAGGGATTATTTCCTTCTTCGCGAACGCGGAGCTTCAGCTGCACAGGCCATCACGAACGCGACACCTCCAACTCGAACGCGAAGAACAAACTTCTGGGGCACAACTACTCCACTTTCCTCTTCACGAACGCGTTCGCGATGCTTTCACTGTCCATACCTTCGCGAACACGAAGAACACTTTTTCTGCAACAAAATACCAGAAATCTGCAACTCTCCAAAACAAGGATTTGGTCCGTTAACCTCTCGAAACTCACCCGAGGCCCTCAGGACCTCAACCAAATATGCCAACACATCCCATAACATCATTCAAACTTAGTCGAGCCCTCGAATCACTCAAAAGAACACTAAAACACCAAATTAACCTCGGATTCAAGACAAAAAACTTAGAAACTTCCAATTTTCGTATTCGATCATAAAGCCTATCAAACCTCATCTAAATGACCTGAAATTTTGCACACACGTCACAAATGACACAATGGTCCTACTCCAATTTTTGAAATTCTATTCCGACCTCGATATTAAAATTTCTACTACCAACCGGAAAATGCCAAAATTTCAATTTCGCCAATTCAATCCTAAGTCTACCCCGGACCTTCAAAACACATTTCGATCATGCTCCTAAGTCTCAAATCACCTAACGAAGCTATCCGAACCATCAGAATTCACATCCGAGACCTTTTTCATATAAGTCAACATCCGGTTGACTTTTCCAACTTAAGCTTACTCAAAAGAGACTAAGTATCTCATTCCTTTCCAAAACCACTCCGAACCCGAATCAACCAACCCGATACCACATAATACAGTTGAACAAGACCTAAAGAAGCAAAAATGGGGAAAACTGAGCGGTAACTCATAAAACGACCAGCCGGGTCATTACATCTATGATAAGTTAGTGATGGGATAGATAAAATAATTTTGTATCACATAAGGGTTAGATTGTTTAAATAGATCATTTTTAAATTAAATGTTGTACATCCCTCATACAAAAAAGTGGACGGTTTTTAACTGCAGCTCTCTCATTTTGAACACAATATCCAATAAGTTTCTGAAGTTTTGCAGACACTTCCTCTAATAATTATTATCAGAAAATAGCAAGCAAAACAAATAGGGAAAGGAATAGAATTTGATTTTCATTTTGGGAGAAGACAATGGCAGTTCAGCCAGAGTGTGCAACTCTACTCTACAGAACCTTATTGATAAGAGACAACTACCTGAAAACAAACTCCCTGCTAGGACATGATAACTATCGAATCTATATCCTACATGTTTTCTCCTTGCTTGTAGGTCTGAACAGCTTTATAGGTCACAACCTCACTAACGACATCTACAAATATAAAAGTTAGTTGCACAACTTATTAATACCTAATATTAAAATAAAATGGAAGAGAAGAATTACCGAATTATTCTGCCCCATCAACATCATTTTGATTTGTTAGCTGCTCAAAAGGAGACAAGTTAAATATCTCCATATCAAATAAAGGATTAGTTGTTTCCTCAACACATGTCCCTGCGTAAATATCATCCTGAGGTCTGTGTTGTAGTCTTTAACTTCAAGTTATTTGGTTCGACAACAAAAAAAATTATGTGATATATGCTGAGTTCAACACCTTCATCTTGAAGAACTTTATAACATACTTCCCGATTGAGGCATAAATTCTATCACCCTACAGTGACAGATTATTTATTAGGATGTCTCATATTGCTGAAGAAAAATCTTCAAGTAAGAATATATCAGTTATTTTATTTTGATGAATTATTTGCAACCATAATCCTTTAACTCAGGCAAGACACATTAAGAAAGTCAAGGCAACATATAAATTGCAGCTATAGAGAAATTAGTATACAATTGTATACAATCTCTACATGCTACAAATGTTTTTCTTTTGCTTAAATGATGACTACTAATTCAACTATCTACAATCTTTATAACCTAAAGGCAAGTAAAAATTCCCAAACTGGGAAGAAGAAGAACTTTAATTTATGAGAAAGTGACCCACTATGGGAATTGAATACAAAGGAGTCGTGTTAGCCTCTTTGGGAATTTCACATAGGGGTACTACTTTGTTATAACTAATTTACATCCACAAACATCTTCCTATACATAAGAAATTCGGTGAAATTCCCAAAATGGGATGATCAAGGTAGTTATAATATAATAGAATAAATTGTTATAACTTTGAATTCACAAACAACTTATTTAAGTTTCATAACTTTCATCTATATGTGAATATAGAATCTGCATAATTAGTCTTAGCCTCTTTGGGAATTTCATACTTTGTTATAACCAATTTACATCCACAAACATCTTCCCAGACATAAGAAGTTCGGTGAAATTCCTAAAGTGGGGTGATCAAAATAGTTATAACAAAATTGAATAAAATGTTATAACATTACATCCACAAACATCTTATTTAACTTTCACAACTTTTATTTGCCTTTCTATCAATCAACACCTTGCGTACATATGTTCCAGTGATATTCATAAATTTAATCTTGAATAATTTTGACTCTTTTCCAACAAAACAATGATATATTCACAAACTTAAATGAATACAAACAATAAAAGAATCCGTACATATAAAAGAACGGAGAAGTTCTAGATGACAGAGAAGAAAAGTGCCAAGCACAATCTCTGAAGACGCATTCTACAAAGAAGGTACATAGAGCAAGATACACAAATTGATCAACTTTAGACAGCAGACTTGGTGAAACTTTAAGTTCACTTAATGAGAAAAGAAGAAAGGAAATGTGAGTTCATAGTCATTATTTTGTCAAACATATCAATTGTTTATATTGTTCACAGTATAGAAAACGAAGATGCTCTATTAGATAATATTACAACATGATAAAGAAAGAGTTTTTGTTGCTTTACATAAGTCATGACACGAATAGAAATAGCATCAAATATGATTAGTGGCTTCCATAAAGTTCATAAGCTTCATATAAGATATCAATGACTCTTGGTTACGATTCACTAAATCATGATGGAAACAAAAATATATAAATCATAAATAATCCTTTTTCCCCAGTTTATCCTCAAGGTGTCTGAGGCATGACCAAATAGTAATATAAATTGAAGCAATTGTGCAGTCACGGCTTCAATGACAATAGAGAGATGTGATTTTTTTACACATTAAATACATACATATAGAAATAAATAAATTATACGAAGAACAGAGCATGCTGATTTGAAAATTAACAAAAGGAGAAGAAAAAATAACTTAGTAAGACAACAATTGATTTTTAATACCTTTTTATATTGTAGAATCAATTTAAACGAGAAATTAGTGCTTGCGTTGTAAGGATCTGGTACTTCCCATAGACGGACAACCCAAACTTGCAACTTTCATTACATTTTTGAAATTGTTATATCCTTGATGAAGTCACCGTGAATAGCCATATTTTGCAGAAGTATCACTGCCAACGTCCATTGGTATCACAGCCAAAATCAAAGTTAATGGGTATCCAGAGGCGGATCCAGGATTTAAACTTTATGAGTTCAACTTTTGAAATTTTTAACATTGAATCTGTAGACATGTAATTTTTGACCCTCCCCGAGATTTTACTCTTTTTAGTATTTAAATACTTAGTTTAGGTCTAATATAGTTATTTCAACTAATTTTGACTCTTTTACATTATCTTTGGCACAAAAATGAAAATTACAAAAAAAAAAAAAAATAGTTTCACTAATATATTGTAGTCATACTATTTTACTAGGATTTTTATTTTTACATAATTTTAAAAAATACCAAAATAGTTTCATAGTATAATATTATTTGTTTTAATTAATAATGATTAGTTTTATATTTTTATTTTATAAATTTTATATCATTTTTCAAAAGGAAGAGTGAGTTTTTGGGTTAGTTTATCACATTTTTAATGAGAGAGATCCATTTTTAATCTTTTGGCCCAATTTTTAAGCCCAGCAAGACCTAACCCATTACCCCTTCTTCTTTAAACCCTTACACCCCCACCCCTAGGGTCTGCTTCTAGAACCTTAGACTACAACACACAAAAAACCTAGCTGAACTTTAAGAACACCAGGGGCGCCCATCTTCTTCTTCGAGAGGCTAGCTGAACCATAGTGAGAGAGACCCAAAAAGACTCCAAGCCATCAGCAGCCTGAACACGACCAAACTCACCGGAAAAGAGATCAGTGCCCATATCCTCCTCTCATCAAGCAAACGACCACCCATCGTTGTCTCTCCGTCAACCAGCCTCCCGCGCAGCAGCAAGTCCGGCGACAAACCAACAGCTTTCCATCTCTGGCCCTTCCAAAAACTACCGAAGAACAACCAGGTCAACATCGACCAGCGACCCTGCCACCAGCAGCAGCAGCCTCTGCTGCCAACCAGCAGCATCCGCTAGCTGCGAAAGAAAAATGAAAAAACTTAAGAGGGTTTGTTGTTAGTGTTCATTCTTGAATTCATAGAAGAACAAGTTTCGTCATGATCTAGAAAGAAGATAATGTATATCATCCTTTTAAGAATTACAAATAGCTTGAGTCTCCTAATATCTGATAACAAAGTGAGAACGAGAGGATGAGTTTGGACTAGAGTGTCCCAGTTATCCCTAGCCTCACGAAGGCATTCTCAGTTTTGAGCTTGGGGGCGTCCGTATGAGGTTTCCGGTCCAGGTTCATAGGCTTGAAGCAACCACTGATGTGCACTTGATTTGGAGTTTTACTATTCAATATAAAAGAGGGACTCATCTAAGGTTCAATCTTTCTCTTTCCTTTGTTTTTTTTTGGGTTTATCTCCGTGAGTTGTTTGCGTTTGTTTACTGTTCATGCTTGTTCATGCTTCAATGGTTGTTTTGTGAACTACTTGCAAATTTCGGCTTCAGATTCCTTTGAGTTTTGTTTTGTTTGGAACTTTAATTATCAACTATTTTGTATTAAAGCTTAAGTTGAATGGAGACATTAAGTGGGGTTGGGGATAATTATGATTAAGTGGTATTTATTTGTACGTCATTTAGTAAATAAATTAAATAACAGACTATAAGCTTGTAAATAAAATCGAATATTTAGGCATGAGTTGATTTTTATTAATTTCGTTTATTTACTTGCCAAAAATCAGTAGTATACTTAGGTTCACTAATACGGGTAGGCAACCCTTAGTTAAATTTACCCGGGGAATGTCCCGAGAGATTTATATATATTTTATTCCGAGGAATGCCCCGTAGAACTTTGTAATGAGAAGTCAAATGTAGAACTTGTAGTGTTTTATTCTTTTTTTCTATTTTCTTTTATTAGGCGGGGACAACCTCGAGCCTCATGTGTGTTTATTGTTTTTTGTGATTTTACCTCAACTTGAATATTTTAGAAGTCAACTTGATCGAGTTCGCAACCGTACTATTTACGGGACTCGGGGAATGCCTAACACCTTCTCTCCGAGTCAAATGAACCCCCTTACCCGATTTTCTGGAGCGGACTTAGTTTTAGAGTCTGAAATATTTTAAAAGGAAAAGTCATTTAAAAAAAAAAAAGGTGACCTGGCACACCGAAATCAAAGTCAGGTGGCGACTCTGAGTTATTTTCCTTTTGAATACAATTTTTGTCACTTTCAAAATTGAAAACCTTTTTCAAGCTTTTCACTAAATCTTTTTATTCTTTTTAAGAGGGTTTGGTGAGTTTGATAAAAAGGGGGTGTGACATCTCTGGCGACTCTGCTGGGGAATTGCAGGTTCGAGCTAGTACTTGATCGTGTTGGTTTTTAGGATATTCAGTTGAGGTTTTTATGTTTTTGTTTGCTTTTTATTTTGTTTGTCATTTTTATTTGCTAGTTGCTTATTTGTTTACCGTTTTTTCTTTTATGTGTTACTGCTTTATAAATTGTCATCATTTACATAACCATGGGTCTTCTTTCTGCAACAAGTCTCGGAGCACGCGTCGCGTGCACGAACTCTTTGTTGAGTCACCCTTAATTTAGGAGGGGGGGTCGTCGGACGTATGGAGTGGGTGGAAAGCTTGAGCAGCTACCATCGACCATACGCTTCCCGAATTGCCTTGTTAGTGAACCCCAAACTTAGGTCAGCCTTTAGGTCATTCTTATTTGCATCATGTCATTTAGACCTAGTAGGGCTCGGTCCCAGGTACCGTGTTCTTTTGTAGGAAGCTTGTCCAAATTTTGTCAAAATGGGCCCGTGGCCCAAAATGACATTTAATCATCCTATGTGATAATTGTTGCATCTGTGAGGGTAGGAAGGTCATTTGGCGGACCGATGCTTTGGAAAGAAGGGTGAAAAATGAAGCAAGTAGAGCTCACTCACATTTTTCTTTCATAGTTTTCCAAAAATCAAAAAATGAAAATGAAAAAGAAAATCCAATTTTTTTTTACACTTTTCCATTATTTTTCAAAAATTCAAAAAAAAAGGAGAAAAAGAAAATCCAAAAAGATTTTATACTTTTCCTTTACTTTTGGCCACATCGGCTTTGTTGCAAAATAGGGCAATTTTGTGAAGTGGCCTGTTGAACCGTGTTTGGAGAGTCTAGAATCCACAATTAGCTGTCTCCTTACTTCAAGGCCATTTCCTGTTGAATTTGAATGTCTAGCCACTTTTGGCCACTTCGGTCATTCTTGCAAAATGGGGTCATTTTCGCAAAAAGTGGTTCAATTACCCATGTCTTAGGATCTTAAGTCCACAACTTGATGTCATATTACTTTAAGGTCCTTCCCTTTTGAGTTTGCATCTTTAGCTACTTCCGGCCATATCGGCCATTTTTGCAAAATGGGTCATTTCCGTAGAGTAATTTTTTAAGGCCATGATTGTTGGGATGTTGGAGCCATGTGAGCTTTAAATGGAGTATTTTTCATTCATTAGGGGTCAACTTTGTCAAATTTGCGCTAATAGCCACTTAGATCATTTTGCAAAAATAGCCAAATTATGCCTTGCATGTGTCCAATAGGAGATTCCATGGTGTCTTGAGTCACTGATCTATTTGATCTTATTTTTCTCATTCAGGTATGGAGCAATTTGCTAAAGTTTGAACATGACAAAATACCCCAGGACCATTTTAGTCAAGACCATTGCATGCTCGAGCTGCTTGAGGAAACTTTTATGTTTTGAGTCTGTCGTTTATGTAGTCTTTTAATTATTAGTCCTGTATAGTAGTATCGAGTCTGTTAGTCTAGTTAAGATTGTCGAGTCTTTCATTATCGTACTATCTGTTTCGTATTTGAAAAACCAATAAATGAAAATCCAAAAAGATTTTTATTTTTAGTTTATTTGTCCATTACTTTTTCAAGAACTACGCTTGATCTTATTTATGAGGGACATGATACGTAGGCAACCTACATAGGGTTCGATCAAATCATTTTTTAAAATTAAAAAAGGGAGGTAAAAAAGAGAATGAAGTTGTGGGATGTGAAAATGAGAGGAAACTGCGGGAATAAGGAAAATGAGCGAGCCAAAAAGCACAAGAAAAGAAAGAAAAGAGAAGATTGAAGTGAACAAAATTGGGATGATGCCAAATGACCTTCGTACCCTCGAAGCCACTCTGGAACCGTTAATTATTGTTAGGACCATTGCACGCAATGTGATATTTCTATCTGATAAATGTCCTAACGCTAACATGTTGGCTTTGTTTTGCTCCCCTTTGTTAATTTCATTGTTATCACAACAGAGGGTGGTTAGTTTGTGGCACTTTGGCGATTCATCCATACAACACAAGGTCGAAAGAGCAAGGTAGACATGGTTAGTAAAGACTTGGACACTGGAGTTGTAGACCCACCAAGGGAGTGTAAAATAGAATCAGAACTGAAAGAGGAGGTCCGAAGGTTGAAACATCAGATGGCGGAAATGTATCAGGCCTGGTTTATGGGACTTCATCCACCTTCACTCCCCACTAACTACACTGAAAACCCTACAACCTGCCACTATCACAAGCCCAGATTCCTAATGTTGTTGTTATCTCCCCACAACCTTTTCACACTCTACCCCTCAAAAGCACATCATATCCCGCTCCTTTGACCACTCGTGTTTTTGTAGCTCATCCACCAGCTATTCTTCCTCGATCCTCCAGCGAGACTATGTTCCAAGCTCCAGATGTCCAACACTATGCTCCAGAACCAGCTTTCAAGGTCTCTGGTCCATACTCTTACGCTCCTCATTTTGAGCCTCCCGGTGACACTGCTAAGCCTGCTAAGATAGTGGAGTAGGATGAGATATCCAAAAAGTTGAAAAGGTCTAAAATGCCAAAGCTTAATTTATATGATGCGCGTGGAGATCCAGTAGCCCATCTGAGGGGTTATTGCAGTGAAATGAGAAGTGTTTGCGGGAAAGGTGAAGTATTGATGGCGTATTTCAGTAAGAGTCTGAGTGGTACATCCGCCAAGACGCTAGTAAGTGGCAGGCATGGGGTGACATGACTCAAGATTTTGTTCGGCACTATCAGTACAATGTAGACATTATCCCAGAGCGCTCCTCCCTATTTCAGATGGAAAATAAACCCAAGGAAGGCTTTAGAGAATTTTGGTTCAGATGGAACGAACAAGTTACTCGGGTCAGTTCTCCGATTGGTAGAAAAGATGTTGTTGAGCCCCGCCAACGACAGAATCCAGTGAGCATTCCTGCTAAATGCTTTCAGCCTCAATACTGACCCCATAAATATCCTCATACACCAAATAATCCTCCAATGCTACTTTCCTCCACAGAATCCCCAAAGTCATACCTTACCTCCCAAGTACTCTATCCACAATGCACCGCCATATGCTCCACAATCACAAAACCGGCAATGGCTTGCAACACATCCACAAATGTCTTACCCGCCTTTACAAGCATATCAACCCCTACCCGAAAGAGGTTCCAACCAAGGCCGGAGTACAAAATGAGAAGGCAGCTGCAAAGAGAAAAGTCTTTCACTACAATCGGAGAATCCTACACAAGCTTGTTTAAAAAGTTAAAATAGTCTGGCCTGATTTAGCCGCTCATCGGTTATACTCCGGACCCATATGCAAAAGGTTTTGATCCTACTATACGGTACATGTACCACTCTAATGTCCAAGGGCATAACATTAAAGATTGTTGTACTTTGAAAAGGGAGATAGAAAGAATGATTCAAGAAGGGATAATTATGATCCAGTACAGTGACACCCAGAACATCGCGTAGAATCCTTTACATGCACATGATGATGCACACTTTGTGGGAGAGATGCGTGGTGACAAGGAGTATGAGAATCCTCTAGGGAACTTGCTGACTGAAGTGAATGATATTGAAATTGGTGAAGGTCCCAGTAATTTTGATGTGCAATCCAGTAGCTATGATGTCGAGCTTGGTAATTGGAAAGACACTCCTTTCTTGGCTAGCTAGGGAGGAGTTTTGGTAGTTTATTTTGTTGTCATTTCGGTGTCCGGGTTATTTCAGGGTTGTAATCCGGATATTGTCTTGTTGGCTCAAACCCTTCTGCTTCTTATTTTCCTAGTTCGTTTAGTGGTAGTAACTCGTTTAGTATTATCTAGGATTGTTCCACGGTTGTAACCCATGTCTATTTTGCTTGTTTTGTTCAAACCTTTCCACCATCTGTCTAATGCAATCTCATGTTTTCTATTAGTTCTGGTCAGTTTTGTTTAGGTTACTTTTCCTTTTATAGTTCTTTTCATCCTGATTCCAGTGACATGACATGCACACATAATTCTCATCCTGGTCTTGAAAGTTAGTCTAATCATGAAGCGATAACACGGTTTTGAATATGATAAAATGAGGCCTTTGAGGAAATAAGTAAAGATTCACGCATTCTGAGGTAACCTGAAGCTTAAATTGAGTGAAACTGAGGCAGTTAGTCTGGAAAATCAAGAGGTTGATAAGAGCATACAACAAGGAAATGTCTCTCAAGGAGTTTGAGGTAAATCAGTCTGTGCTGAAATGCATTCTTCCACATCAAGATAAGGTTGAGTCAAGTCTGCTTTGAACTGGCAAGGGTCATTCATTAGGACAAAGGTATTATCCATTGGAACTTTTTGTTTGTGTTGATGTCGTCAATAGCTACTATGTGTGATTTAGTTGTTTATCTTCAATTGCATGTTTGTACTTGGCATTTTTAAGTTTGGTATGACGAAGGCATTTTATTCTGCTACCCAAACACTTTTATCCTTTGCTACCCATTTTGAGCCCTAATTATTTTTATACCCCTCTTTTGGAATCAAAAATAAAGTTAGGAACTAGAGAAGGAAAAGAAAAAGAGAAAAAGAAGAAAAAAAGAGAAAAAAAAGAGAAAAGAAAAAAAGGGAGAAAAGGAAAAGAAAAAAATAACAAACAAACACTTTGTCTTTTGAACTACGTTCGACCTGATTCTTGTCACCACAAGATACGTAGGCAACCTTACAGTTCGGTCGCACCAAATAAAATGTTTCATAATCCCCGAAGTCAAGAGTGGGGCAGTTTTTCTTGGAAATCCCATCAAAGCAAAAATTCAAAAAAAAATAAAAAAAAATTTCCCCAAACTCCAAGAAATTGGGGGAGAAGTTTAATTTTGCCAAAAGACCTGATTCCAAAAGTTGTAATTTTGAACCCTTTTCATCTTAAATTATTTTGAGCCTTCATACCACCCTTTCTTTTCAACTCTATCCAAAAGCCTACATTACGGTCCAAAGAAACACCTTCTGACCAATCTTTGAGGATGCCAAGTCAAGTGTGTGGTGAAAGTATGATCTTCCTACATCATGGGTAATACCTTTGTTCTCAGCACATGAGAGAAAATGATAATGAGAGAGTCTTATCGGTGAAAACCCTCAGGGGCACAGTAAGGCGACAGTGAGTTGAGAAAAGAGCAAAATGAGAGAGGCTTGATGGTGAAAACCTTCAGGGCACTACAAGTCGACTGAGGATTGTGGATCAAATGGGACAATTGAAGCGTTGAAGCACAATTTCACAGCGAAGAGGTACAACAAGAGTTGAATATTAGATTTGCTTGAGAGATTAGGCCACTTAATCCAAAGGTGCATGTCATGGTCATTAGAGTTGGTATCCACATCTGATAAATTTCCACTTCGTAATTTTCTGGTTAGGTATCATCTCTTTCCCTTGTCCCTTATTTTGTTCCTCTCGTTTTGTTTGAGTCCCTTCTTGAGTCTGTTTGGTCAAAACAAGTGAGAAATGACTTCAAAATTTTCCAGTTGCACAAAATGAATTTGGCTAGCACATCAAAGTGGCATGCGTCAGGGAAAGTGGTATGCGCATTGAGTTGGCAACAATCAACATGCTTTGGGATTCATGTGAAATGCAAGGGTTCGGTAAATGTCAGTCCATGAGCAAAATGCAACAGATAGAGGATATTGGGAACGAATGGAGCAGAGGTGTTTTCTGTGATAAGGGTTGAAAGAAAATGGGTAGTCGATAACAGTCGAGGTCGTCCAGGTTGAAATCAAAGTTATCTTGGCAGTGGCAGAAGCAGACACTCAGCAATAATGCCACAAACTAACCACCACGTTTTCAAACTAACAAAACTTTATTCGTCTAAAATAGGGGCAAGAAAATTTGTTAATCCACAGGGACCATCCCATGAAGAAGGGATGGCTCAGGGGCAAGAAATTCAGTTCAGAATCCTCCAAAAAGAGAGCACGGCTGTTCATTCTCGTATTTTTAGGACCTTCCTAGATAATGAGATTTAATTTAAAATTCTCAGGACCCTCCTGGATAATGGGATTTAATTTTAAAAGTTTTTAGGACCCTCCTGGATAATGGGATTTAATTTTAAAAGTTTTTAGGACCCTCCTGGATAATGGGATTTATTTTTTGAATTTTCAGGACCCTCCTGGAAAATGGGATTTAATTTTTAAAAGTTCTCAGTACCCTCCTGGATAATGGAATTTAATTTTAAAAGCTTTCAGGATCCTCTTGGATAATGAGATTTAATTTAAAAGCTTTCAGGAACCTCCTGGATAATGGGATTTAATTTAAAATTTTCAGGACCCTCCTGGATAGGGATTTAATTTAAAAGTTCTCAGGACCCTCCTGGATAATGAGATTTAATTTTAAAAGCTTTAGGACCCTCCTAGATAATGAGATTTAATTTAAAAGCTTTCAGGACCCTCCTGGATAATAGGATTTAATTTAATATTTTCAGGACCCTCCTAGATAATGGGATTTAATTTAAAAGTTTTCAGGATCCTCCTGGATAATGGGATTTAATTTTAAAAGTTCTCAGGACCCTTCTGAATAATGAGATTTAATTTAAAATTTTCATAACCCTCCTAGATAATGGGATTTAATTTAAAAGTTTTTA